TCTATCTATCTATCTATCTATCTATCTATCTATCTATCTATCAATCAATCTATCTAATATATATTTGTCTATATATCTATCTATATTTCTATCTATCTATCATAGATAATTATAAATCATTCAGTGTTATATAAAATCCTAACATTTTATTTGTACCATCTAACTATACCAGCAGTTACGAACATTTTATTCGAAATTATTAACAGACTGTTCTTCACTGTAAACTCCGGTTAATGTCATAGCACCGGGCTGAATTTTAGTCAGCTAGAGCAAGCTGTACAGTACACATTTAGACTATATTAAGCAAAGCGGGACAGTACACCAAATGAAGTACCATCTCCTTCTAGAGAAATTAATTGGTGTTAAATATATCTCACAAATCTTTATGTTTTTAACATTCTTTTCGGGATTTTGAACAAAAGGTTCGTAACTTCGAAATGGTTTCAGTTTAAACATCAAAATGTAAGAATTTCTTTAAACGAAATTACGAAATATTTTTTATTCATTCTTACCTTTTTCGTTCTCTGACTGCTTCAGCGTTCAGGAGGCAGAGCGCCCCGATCAAAATCACTAAGATGCGCATTTTCTTTGTGTTTTTAAAAACTCACTAATAATGCCCAAGAGGTTCCGGCTGTTCGTGGATTACTAGTTAATCAATCAATCAATACATCATTTAGCTAATGGATTAATGAAATTTTATTGTAATTAACTATCAGAGTATTTTCTATCTATCTATCTATCTATCTATCCTGTCATATATCTATTGGTTTAGAGATATAGTGTGGTTTTATGTTTGACTGAAACTAGAGAGCGCTATTACTAAACTATTATGAAAATTTACTGTTTATGATCTGGGGTTTACCGAGTTAAATATCATTATCATCTCCAATTAGCATCCTCATAACCCCCCTAACCTCTCCTCCGCCCTCCCTCCCATTACCCCCCCCTTCCCTATCCGTCTCCCTTTAAGCGTACTTTCCACACACTTCCTTTCATATACTCACTTCCCTTCATTAACTTACTTCCCTTTGTACACTCACTACCCTTCATATATTCACTTCCCTTCATAAACTCACTTCCCTTCATATACTCACTTCCCTTCATATACTCACTTCCCTTCACATACTCACTTCCCTTCATATACTCAATTCCCTTCATATACTCACTTCCCTTCATATACTTACTTCCCTTCATTTACTTGCACTTCCCTTAATATACTTACTTCCCTTCATATACTCACTTCCCTTCACATACTCACTTCCCTTCATANTATTTAGAGTGCGGGAGTATATATAGAGTGCAGGAATATATTTAGATTGTGGGAATATATTTAGTTCATATACTTACTGCCCTTCATATACTTACTTCCCTTCATATACTCACTTCCTTTCATATACTCACTTCCCTTCATATACTTACTTCCCTTCTAATACTCACTTTTCTTCATATACTTACTTCCCTACATATACTTACTGCCCTTCATATACTTACTGCCCTTCATATACTTACTTCCTTTAATATACTCACTTCCCTTCATATACTTACTTCCCTTCTTATACTCACTTTTCTTCACATACTTACTTCCCTTCATATACTTACTGCCCTTCATATACTTACTGCCCTTCATATACTCACTTCCCTTCATATACTCACTTTCCTTCATATACTCACTTCCCTCCTTATACTCACTTTTCTTCATATACTTACTTCCTTTAATATACTTACTTCCTTCTTATACTTACTTTCCTTCATATACTCACTTTTCTTCATTTACTCCCTAAATTCAAACTTCCCTAAAACTTAATTTCAAACTTACTTCTCTTCAAAACTCACTTCCTCACTTTAATTTAAATATCTTTTAAAAATAAAAAACGAATGAAAATGTATAAATGAAGTAATAAATAAATAAATCTATTATGTAACAGTTCGCGCATGTCAATAAATAAAAGATAATAAATAATAATAGATAAATCACCGCTTTGTCAAAAATATATTAGAATTAAAGTTTTCAAGTTTGAAATATGATTAATTGATAAATTGCCTCGGTGTATAATTCTGAAACCATGTGGTTTCTCTTCTATCCTTTCAGACGTCTTCACAATTGCACGATAACCAACCAACTAACCAATTTCAATTTTTTCGACAATAAAAATATTTCACAAAAATCTCCCGAAAAAATGCAAATTTTCAAATATTTTCTACATGCTAAATCCTGCAATTTTTGAGGATTAAAATTACAGTAAATCTAGGAATATATATTCGACCCTGAATCGCGGTGTAAAGCAGATCCATATGTTGGCAGAATTAACTTATAACATTTCTCGGGGGGACTTTTTATTGGTAGATTTTATATAACAAAACAAACACAAGATGGATGGCAACGTTGAATTTTTTAACAAGCGATTTGTCCTTGTCTAGGTTTTAAATAAAAAAACGATTTTTAAAAAATAATTGCAAAGGGCTTGCTTAAAAATGCCTAGCCTTACATTTTAATTAAATTTTTTACAATAAAACTTATAAGCTGTCACAAGATGTCGCAGAAAAATTACACCCCCCCCCCCNACTTTAGTTGTACCCACATTTGTGGAAGTAACGGGGGGGGGGATAGGGATAGGAAGGGGGGAAGGGTACAAAAAGGGGTAGAATTATGAACTTCCCTAGAAAATACTTAAGATCAGTTACTAGTTAAGATTTGATATTTCTTATTTCTATGACTTGAATTACAAATTTAAACACAAGATAAATACAGAGGCTGCACTGGAGGAAATATATAATTTGCGGTCATTTGCTGTGTGTATTATACTGTATCTTCAACATAAATCCTGAACTTGAAGTGGGTATGAAGAATTTGGTTTAATAAATAATATACTTTAAAGGCTTTTTAAATAAAGAAATTTAAAAAATCACTTAATTGGCAGCAGCAGCTGGATGGCTGCCAATTACGCGACAAAAAGTCGCTTATTTCGCAGCAAAATTATTCTACACATCGAATAAGCGATTTTTTTGTTGACTTTTTGCGTTAGGTTTTTTGATTTTGTCATTGAGAGTGCGGGAACATGTTTAGAGTGCGGGAATATATTTAGAGTGAGGGAATATATTTAGAGTGCGGGAATATATTTAGAGTGCGATAGTATATTTAGAGTGCGGGAATATATGTAGAGTTCGGGAATATTTTTAGAGTGCAGGAATGTATTTAGAGTGCGGGAGTATATATAGAGTGCAGGAATATATTTAGATTGTGGGAATATATTTAGAGTGCAGGAATATATTTAGAGTGCGGGAATATATTTAGAGTGCAGGAATATATTAAAAGTGCGGGAATGTATTTAGAGTGCAGGAATATATTAAGAGTGCGGGAATATATTTAGAGTGCAGGAATATATTAAGAGTGCAGGAAAATATTTAGAGTGCATGAATATATTAAGTGTGCGGGAATATATTTATATTGCAGGAATATATTTAGAGTGCGGGAATATATTTAGAGTGCAGGAATATATTTAGAGTGCGGGAATATATTTAGAGTGCAGGAATATATTAAGAGTGCGGGAATATATTAAAAGTGCAGGAATATATTAAGAGTGCGGGAATATATTTAGAGTTCGGGAATATATTTAGAGTGCAGGAATATATTTAGATTGTGGAAGTATATTTAGAGTGCGGGAATATATTTAGAGTGCAGGAATATATTTAGAGTGCAGAAAATATATTAAGAGTGCGGGAATATATTTAGAGTGCAGGAATATATTTAGAGTGCGGGAATATATGTAGAGTTCGGGAATATATTTAGAGTGCAGGAATATATTTAGATTGTGGAAATGTATTTAGAGTGCGGGAATATATTTAGAGTGCAGGAATATATTTAGAGTGCGGGAATATATTTAGAGTTCATGAATATATCTAGAGTGCGGGAATATATTTAGAGTGCAGGAATATATTAAGAGTGCGGAAATATATTTAGAGTGCAGGAATATATTTAGAGTGCGGGAATATATTTATAGTGCGGAAATATGTTTAGAGTGCAGGAATTTATTTAGAGTGCGGGAATATATTTAGAGTGTGGGAATATATTTAGAGTGAGGAANTCTCCACAATACTGCATTCTCAGCTCAACTACCATTAAGAGTGCGGGAGTATATTTAGAGTGCGGGAGTATATTAAGAGTGCGGGAATGTTCATAAATTCTAAATTTATGACCAACCACAATCTATATATATATATATTAAAAAGTAATTTCTGTTTGTCTGTTTGTTGAATAGGTTAAAATTTATTGAGAAAAGTTAGTTTTTCTGGCTATTTCTTCAATTCAATTTTTATCTAAAGATTGTTTTTTTTTTAGAAAACCAACCATCTTGAAGGGTGTAAATAACATAGAAAAGAACTCTAGATTTGTTTTAAAATGTGTTTACACCACTTTTTGTTACAGTTACTGTGCAGTGTACACAGATCCTTTTAATTCACTTCATAAGTCGATTTTCAGGCTTCCATACTAGCCTGAAAATCATTGTCTTGCATACCAGAGCCATTGTGATTATGACGAAAATAGATTAGATGTATTTTATTATATTATTTTTATTAGATATGTTTCAAAAACACAGAGAATAAAAACTATTGTAGCAAAATGATACATAAAAACATTCCAAATTGAATTCTGTATTCAAGGTTAGAAGAATTACTCCATTGGGCCATTATTAGTTTTAATATTTTCATCTTTTTTGTTAATTTCCCGGCCTTTGAATTCCATCTGTTCCGTGCATATGGTTGAGGTATAAAGGGTAAAATAGCTAAAAAGTGTGTCATAAGATTTAAATGACTGTAAAGCGTAATCTTAAGTAAACCTCTTTGCAAAGATGGCAATGCCTAATTCACTATGGTACTCTTGAAACCTTAATCTCATCGAAAATGTGGAAGATAACGTCGTTTTTATTCTCGAAAAGTGCTTACATTTGATAATTTCTCCATTGATTCTTATAAGCATGAATTGCAAAAGTCAATACTTGCAGAGAGAGAGAGAGAGAGAGAGAAGAAAATAAAGAGTATAATTCAAACTTGATCTTTGCATGGAGGGTCACTTGAAATTACGCTTACAGGTCCTTTGAAATTAACATAATGAAATAGTCGAAATAACGAAACGAAGTATTACATATTTGTGAATCTGCTATTTCTATTGGTTCAGAATAGACAACAAAATCATGACTGAACCCTGATTGGATCAGGCGCTAATGAACTCGTCATACAGATTTGAGATTTGTAAACGTGACAAACTCTTATTTTATTTTATAAACCAGTTTTATCTTTACAACCTGATGGTGTAAACCTTCATCCTGTTAATCTTTGATTATTTAATTAGGGATTCATGGTGTGAAATATCAAAAATTTGGATGCAAAGACCACTCCTGTATGCCGAGTCCATTAGCGCCTGATCCAATCATGGTTGAGTCATGTGTTTGATTTCTATTCTGAACCAATAGAAATAGTATGACCGTAACATCTATCTTTCTATCTAGCTCATTATCCAATTAGAGTTATGAATCCTTTAATCAGCTCTATCAGTAAATGAAAATATTTACTTCTACTGAAACTATAGTGAAACACAGTGCTCGAATTTAATGAATTTTTGCCGCGTCTAAAATCCGCCCCAAACCGGTTTCAATTTTAAATCTTGAAATATTAAATGCAATTTTAAGTGGAACCAACCATATTTGAGCCGCGGCTGAAACTTAAGCCGCAGCTCAAATTCTTTAAATTCGGTCTCTGATTAGACAATAAGAATTTGTGGCAAATAGTTAGTTATAATATAGGAGTTTGAGTGTGACACATGTTATTCTTGACCAATGACCTTCAACGTTCATGTACTTTAAAAATTCTAAAACTAATTTGGTAACTTCCTATAAATTTTGCCGTGGACGCCCTCCCCCTCATCCCCGACTATCTATCTATCTATTTTAACCTAACCTAACCTGGAATTTCCCGGCCTTTGAATTCCATCTGTTCCGTGCATATGGTTGAGGTATAAAGGGTAAAATAGCTAAAAAGTGTGTCACAAGATTTAAATGACTGTAAAGCGTAATTTCAAGTAACCCTCTTTGCAAAGATGGCAATGCCTAATTCACAACGATACTTTTGAAACCTTAATCTGATCTCGAAAAGTGCTTACATTTGATAATTTCTCCATCGATATTTATAAGCATGAATTACGCAAGTCAATACTTGCAGAGAGAGAGAGAGAGTAAAATAAATAGTATAATTCAATCTTGATCAGACAAAGCTTGAAGGGTATCCGAGATTACCATCTTTGAGAGGCATTAAAAAATTCGAAATAACGAAACGAAGTATTACATTTTTGTGATTCTAAAGAAATCACATTTTTTCAGAACAAGTAAACCACTATAGTGTCAGTAGAAGTAAATATTTCCATTTACTGATTGAAGGATTCATAACTCTAATTGGATAGTGAGATAGATAGAAAGAGAGATGTTACTGCCAAACTATTTCTATTGGTTTAGAATAGACAACAAACAAATGACTGAACCCTGATTGATCAGGCGCTAATGGACTCGGCATACATATTTGAGATTTGTAAACGTCACTAACTCTAATTTTTTAGATCAGTTTTGACAATACCACCATTCTTTAAGGACTGATGAGGATATGAAATTGAAATATATCGAAATTAATTTCCAAACCCGAGTTTTTCTACCTGTGAGAGTGACACCTTTTTTGCCAGTTTGGACAATTTACATAGACCATTTTTATCTTTGCAACCTGATGGTGTAAACCTTTCTCTTAGTAATCTTTGATTATTTAGTTCGGAATTCATAGTGTGAAATATCAAAGATCAACCACATTTGGATGCAATGTCTGAATTTAATGAATTTTAGCCGCGAATAAAATCCGCCAAAAACCGGTTTTAATTGAGCGCCGGCTTAAATCTTGAAACATAGAATGCAATTTTAAGTGGAACCAACCATATTCTTTAAATTCGGTCTCCATGCTGATGAGACTATAAGACTTTGTGGCGAGCAGTTAGTTATAATGAAGGCGTTTGAGTGTGACACATGTTATTCTTGACCAATGACCTTCAACCTTCATGTACTTTAAAAATTCTGAAAACAATTTGGTAACTTCCTATAAAATGTGCCGTGGACGCACTCCCCCTCATCCACGACTATCTATCTATCTATTTTAACCTAACCTAACCTGGTATGATACAATCACAAGAAGTTGCTCTTTTTCCAAAAAAGGGATTGTTATCGTTTATCTTGGTGATCGTTTAAAGAGATAGTCAACACTAATTCACACCCTATAAAAACCTTTATTTTGAGTATTAAAACATGTACTTTTCAATGCCGAGATGGGGCAAATTTCAGCAATTTTCTTTCTTGTCGTTGATGAAGAAATTTATATTTAAAGGGACTGTAAGCGTTATTTCAAGTGACCTTCACCTTAGAATAATAAATCGAAAAATATAGAGTTCTCCACCATCCTTTATCATGAAGAACTAAAGAGTAGTTTCAAGTGACCCTTCCATTTGTAGCGTGGTATGTCAGGTTCACATTTGTAGCGTGGCATGTCAGGTTCACATTTGTCTTGTCAGTAACGAATGAGATATTCATTAATTTTTAAAAGTATTTTCTCTTATAAAGTGATTGCGGATTTCTACTTCAAGAAACAATGTATTCCGAATATTTAAACAGATAAAAGTTTAAAGGGTTCCGTTGTGAATTTGACATGCCGCTCTATAAATGGAAGATCACTTGACAATACGTTAACAGTTCCTTTAATCCTAGTTAAGCCTACATATGATAACTGGTGGTTTAAGACCATGTGTTACTACTCCCAGGGTCGTGTCTAGATATTCAATTATATAAATTGTAGAATAGGTAATATTATGCTATACTTACCATCCAGGGTGTCCGGGAATAAATTGTAGAAAAATGATCAAAACATTTCTACTTCTAGGGTTGAAGAAAGCACTTTTTCCGCTTCTATTGTATCAATTATTGCCTAACAATGTTGCCACCATTTTATATTTGTCCATAATTAAAATTGAATGCGGAGGTTCTTGTTTTCATTAATGGTAGTTTTTGAAAATAAGTCAAATCAAATTTTGTCGAACATTTTTTCTAATTCCGACCCGCTCTGTCCCTTGTCTGTTGGTGTTACATTAATCAAACATCTATTGAAAGATAGATAAAATAAATATCTTATTTTTGTTAAAAATAGAAAGAATTCAATATTATCATTATCAATTTTCCGAATAGGACCAGACTGTTCTTCACTGTAAACTCCG